TCGAAAACGACATTAGAGCGAATTGCAAAGTGAATTTCAAACAGCAGAATCTTTGATTAAAGTGTCAGTAAGTACATCGAAGATAGTGAAGTCACAGCTTCGTTCTTCGAGATTAAACTCAAACTATGCGCCGATGAATAACAAAAGAAATGCTTCTTCATTATCAGTAGCATTCCGTTCTCAAAATGTATGAATCGCAACTAAATTATTTAAGAATTGGAAGCTTCAACGTTAGATGTTGAACACTAACGTTGGATAATTCTGACATAGAATACAAATTGTCGCCGCGGTGGCTCAGTAGGTAGAGCGTCAGTCTCATAATCTGAAGGCCGTGAGTTCGATCCTCACCCGGGGCATATTTTTTTATCATTATCACTTCTCCATTCTAGATAGAATATAAGTCGATGGTTTTTTTTCTTCCTACACGTCTCATTATGTTTTTCTGTGATCGAGATGCAAAATTCGTCTAAACGTGTTTCAATATATTACGATAAAAATAGAAAAAATACAGTATACAAAATATTGTATTGTGTGCAATCACTATGCATTCACTTGTGATACTAATCCTCCAGTATTTTTATCTGCTTTGTGTTTTTGATTTGATATTCGCTCGTGTTGAGAGGAAATGCTTCCTGATTCTGCTACTGATTTATCGCCTAATCTATAGTCAACGATTCTTATGTAACGATCGGTCAAGAATCATACTGAAATACTACAAGTGTCAAATAAGACCCATGCAAAAGTCTTATGAGATTCTTACCGGTTTCTTAAATAAGATCTCGCAGGAGAGTCCCAATAACTCCATAAGGACATTATAAGTCTTATAAGAAAGTCGTAAGAGTTTCATACGAAAATGATAAGAATTCTTATGAAATTTCTACTTAAAAAAGTTTTTTTTTTGAAAATTGATAGATTTGTTCGGTAAGTTCACTGTCAGCCGTCGTAGCATGTTGTGCTGTACGTGCTCTTACTAACTGAACTATAAAGGACTACAACTATGATAAGTTTTCTCGCCATTATATTATGATAATACAGTTTCACATCAGTTTCGAACATCTCTTTATCTTTTAACTTAATGTTTACAAAAGAATTATCCTCTCTGTTTTCCAAAGCTGTAACCCTTCCAAAATTCTCAGAACGGTAACGGTACTGTTCTACAAATTTTCTACCAAAACGGATACCCGTTCTACGTTTTTTTCGAAAAAGAGCAACTTATAATCAATATTGACCGAGTGAAAATCGATTAATAAGCTTGTAATTGCTTATATTGAGATAAAACTATAGCTCTATAGTATCAGATTATCATAAGATACGGAAATCGCCATCGCCGCGAGTTCTTTTTGAGATTGGATTTTAGATTCTTTTAGCACTGGAACACTTTAACACTTTTGCTCTTATAGACTTTTTCTCTTTAAAACTTTAACACTTTAACACTTTTGCTCTTCAATCACTTTGGAGGGTGTGTGTGTGGTTGTGAGAGTGAGTGCACAACGAAACTCCGAATGGGTAAAACGATCTATGCGCTCACGTGTAATTGTGAGCGTGAGATACCAAGTGTAATCGGTGTTAAGTCGAAATCTGTGAATCTGTGAAAACAAATGGACTTCGAGAGGTGAACTCGATTCAACAAATTTCCTTTCATTTAAAACGAAAAGCTGCACGATATGTAAACGGGAAAACTGTTAAAGTGTTAAACTGTACAAGGGCAAAAGTGTAGAAGTGTTAAAGTGTAAAAAGATAAAAGAAAAACCTTAAATTGTGTATTAGCAGATAGGTGCATCGACATCCACATACTTAACCGGAAATATAGAAAAATGCGAACGAATCTCCATGCCTTGCAATGTACAGCTGTGCGTCGAAGAGATTAGCCGAAGAAGAACCCGCGGCGACGGCGATTTCCGGATGATGCAAATCAGTGCTTCAACTGCTGATGAAGATAAACAACTACATTTCTAGCTACTATATTATGTTCAGACGAAAAATGTGTAACAGATGAAATAACTAACTTTTAGCTGTTTTCACCGACAATTAAGAAACTGATATTTCACTCAAACTTCAACTCATCTGTTTTATGGATACATATTCTCCAGTGTCCTAGTATCGAACACCGAAAATGGGAAGTTTTTATCTCTTTTAAATCAAGTGTCATTCAAAAGGGGTTGACGGAAAACGTCGAAAGGAAAAATATCGAAAAGGAAAATGCCGATAAAAAAAGAGCAAAACGTCGAAGAGGAAAATGTAGACGAGCAAAATGTCGAAAGCGGATAATGGAAGAAGGAAAATATCGAAAGGAAAACGCCGAAAAGGAGGAGATTTCTTTCTGTTCCTTTGAAAATAACTGAAAGAGATATTTTATTAAACTACATAGATAAAGAGAGTAGAAGAGAAATGATAGGACCAATAGATCGTGAACTAACTTTTCGTTTATCCTGATCAAGAACGATAATCCAGCCAGTAGCTGTTTTGCATTAAATTCTCTATTGAGAAATCATCTATTGAGTGTGTCAAATCGTTGTTGAAAAGCTGCTGTGTTTCCTGATTGCTTTGGGGCTGATGTCCCTGGTGGGGTGAGAGTGAGGCGTTCATCGTAGTAGCCATACTGAACTTCATCATACTTTAGTTTTTCGACGAGTGGCTATAATTACTACGAGGTTGGGGACGTCTGATGAGAACCAATAGTAGTTCTAATGATAATAATACGTATATCTCATTCAGTGATTTTCAAGGAACAGAAAGCAATCTCCTCCTTTTCGGTGTTTTCCTTTCGATATTTTCCTTTCTCCATTATCCGCTTTCGACGTTTGCCTTTTCGGCATTTTGTTCTTCTACATTTCCTCTTCGACGTTTTGCTCTTTTTTTATCGACCTTTTTCCTTTCGATATTTTCCACCAAGACCATTCAAAAGAAGACCTTAGGCCTCTCTGTTTTCAACTAGATAAGTCAAACTTCAAGTAAGTTTTTATTTTTCAGCGTCATAAGCAGAATAGAAATAACTTTGAGTTTTTTTCGAGGCGAAGTAAAATTTGGATGAAATCGGGATCAGCATGATTCAAAGAATAAATCAAATTAAGGAATAGAATAAATGAAAAAAACATTTTTTTAAGAATTCGAAAATCTGGTTGCAACTCTTAGATAATTTTGTAAACATATCTAGTTTTCTCCGTTATGGGATGAAGCCAAGATTTCTATGCCATCAGAATCATCATCATTTCAGCAACAAAAGTACGAATCTCTTTTTCCTGAGATTTTGCTTCTTTGCTGAGAAACTGGAATTTTTCCGACAAAATGATTTCGTAGCTAAAAGACATCACAGAATCTGGTAGAAACACTTTCCAGATCCCAAGAGATTTTCTATGGAACCAAGCAAACTGATTCAGCAGTTTGTAACTAGAGGCGCATGTATTTTGAAAAGAGGTCTATCCGCACGCACTCATCTTTGACTCTTCATGAGCTTCATAGTCACGTTTAACAGTACGCATCACGTTTTTTACTGTTTTATTCCAGACGCAAGATTTCGAAAGTTTGGTTACAAACTTTTGGCGAACAAGTAGCCCACTTTTCAGTTGGTGTGGTCACAAAGACGCTAAGCTGCAAAGATAATAAGTAATTTTGTACTTTAACAAAAAAACTCCTTTAGCAATATCGGACAATGATATCACTAAGGAAATTTTGCGTTATTTTAAAGAAGAAGATACAGAAAGTACTTTAGTTTTCAATAAATCACTGCACCAGATGTTGAGCGCGCTCGTAACAAAGATACTATGCTTGTCGGACACCTCGGTGCTTGTTAAGTGAGTGTTTTCTCATACGGCCACATCGAACCAAAATTCGCTCATGCCTTATTTTACTCAAATACAACTTTTCTCTGATGAAATAAGCTTCTCTTTGTGCTGATTGAAATCAACGGATTACTTATTGCCGCAGCTTTTCGTTTTGCCCAGTTCGCTCTGCCTCCTAATGAATTGTCATTTACGCGATGTTCTATCGATTGAAAATCTTCTGTTTCAATGTAGTTTATCTGGATTAACTTAATTTCTTATTTACTTTTAATTTAATTCAATATTTAATAACTTAGTTTCGATAGATCTCCTTAACTGAGATAAGTCAAATAAAATCAGGTAAATAGAGTATATAAATGAATAATGGTTATTACATCAACTGCCATCTATTTTTAATTAAAAAATGTTGTTAAGTATTTGAACAAGGGACTATTATTAAAAGAATTCCTGTCCGTTCTTCATTCATCATAAAAACTTGGTTCTTGTATAGATCGATAGAGAAATGAGTGGAGAATATTTACTACCAGACAATATATAAAAATTTGTCTTCTTTTCTTCCTGTTATTGACTAATTAGCATTAAGTAAGGTTAATTTAGCCTACTCTACTAGCTTACAATCCCATTTGCAAAATAAGGACTCAACAAAAGAATTTAAGCTATATCTCACCTGACAGAGAATTTCACGAGCTACAAGGCTGGCTAGCTTAAGAGTTTTAGAATCCAATTCATTCATTAGAATTTTTTATAACAGTCCCGTGCTAAAAAATTTAACAATATTTTTTTGAATAATTAATGTTTTTCTCAGCCAAACAATATCAGTAAGCCGAAAAAACTTCAGAACATATACTTCGAAGTGTCCTCCACAAACTGGAAAAATTTAAGAAAAAAAATTCAAAACTAAAAAACTTACCCTAATTTTTAGCTAACGTAAGCGAAAATATTTTCACAACATCTTGAACCAAATTTCGGTCAAAGGAAGCATTTTCAAGGGAAAGTGTGGGTACGAAAGTTGTTCAGAATCAGATTCCCGGAAATACGAATGAAGGATTTTTCAAAATTTGTTAAATCGGATCTTTAAATTAAATTTACTGAATTTTTTTAAATTTTAAAAACCCTATTTTCAAATTAAAAAACGAGTTTAATGAATTTTGAAAACTCCTTAGTTCGTATTCCAGGGCATCTGATTTTGACCAACTTTCGTACCCAGACTTTCCCTTAAAAATGCTTCCTTTGACCGAAATTTGGTTCAAGATATTTTTAAAAATTCTTCTTGCTCCAAAATGCCATCGGTCAGGTCAAAGCGGAATAACTCAGTCAAAGCTTTACCGAATTTTTTGTAGATACATCTTGATGTCCTCTATCAATTGACATCAAAAGCGAGGTTATATATAGAAAACTGAAAATTTTATATATATAAAATATATAATATGGCTTAAACATAAACATATTCCATGTGATCATTTAATAGAAATAATCAGTAATAAATTACAATTATTCGAAGCAGAACGTTTAGAATTAGTGTATGACAAGACTATTTCTATCCGCCAAACAACTGTACATGTTGTCGATAATCATTCAATTTATACAACTACACCATGGAATTCATTCATGGTTATGATGGATTTACCGGGAAAATTGTGCGAAGCACTCTTATTACAAAACTTTGAAAATGAAATGCGTCTACTTCTAACACAACCTATAGCAATAATAGATGTACAATTCCGACAACAAGGCATTTGTTTACCAAACAATAACACAGGTATCTACGAATGCAGTTTTTCTACAGTTTTCCATCAACAAATTTCTTCTTCTTAAGGTGATTTAAGGTCAATAAGACAACAAAAAATTAACATGGAGAACGAATTAATGCAAACAATTTCTCAAGAAAATGCTGCATTATTTACAGAAATAACGATTTCTGATGATCCAATGCAGCTATTAATCAATGGACTGGATAAGCAAGATCCACAATATAAAGGATACGTCTATCATTATACGCATTTAGAAAATGCTGTTTCGATTTTAAATGAAGGTAAACTAAAAAGCAGAAATAGTGCTGAGGGACAGTTTAAAAATTCAGCTGCACTCAATGTAATCAAATCAACCGATCCATCTGTGAAAAATTACGCTCGATTCTATTTTCGTCCAATAACACCTACACAATTTTGCAATGAAAATCTGGGTAAAAACGGTTCGATCGAACGATTTGGCAATGATCTAATGTGTCCAGTACCAATATTTTTCAAAATTTCATTAAAAGATTTAGCAAACATACCAGATTTACAATGGAAGATAAGCACAGGAAATATGGCAAGTTATCGCAGTAAAAGTGACAATACACTAGACATCGTTAAGCTGTTTGATTTCAATGGTGTTTATGAAAGTCCATCTGATGAATATAGATATCAACATAGTTCACAACAAGAATATTTAATTGAATCAGAATTAAATTTATATTTAGTTTATAATGATCTATCGATTATTTGTCAAAATGATCTAGCTATGAATAGTGTTAAACAGTTATTAAATGATAATAATGCATTCCTGGACAAAATATTTGTGGATAGTTCATTTTATCACAACAAAAATGCAAAAATTAACATTGACAATGATGAACATCGTTTAACAGTTTCTCTAAATGGAAGTAAAGAGCAGGGCGAAATTATTGTTAAATTTTATAACTCAGTAGATGATCAGTTTGAAATTAAAGGTGATATTGGTTTAATACTGAACAATAACAGTATTATATCGGTTTACGTTAAACAGCACATTACTTTGATGATTAATCTAAAAAATATTAATTATTCAGTATTTTATATTTCCCAAGACGAAAATTGGTTAGTATACACCAATAGCAGGATGCCGTTATTACACCTAGTCGAGAGGAATGGGAAATAAAGATCAAAAATTTTTTACTCAATTATGCTGAACTCAGAGAAACTTCGGCTTAGAATAGGATTCGATCTTGCTGAAGTCCATGTATCGCCATAATTCCTTCTCATAATCAAATCTAGACTAAGTATATATAACCCGACAATCCGTAGTATTCCGAAAAGAAAAACATCGCACTTAAATAAATTTGTCTCCAACACATTCATCGAGATACATTTTAGTGTATTCTATTTTGAAATGGACGAAAAAACAAAAGAAAAAGTTTAAAAACATCCATTTAGCGCAAAAAGATTCTTTAATTTCCAAATCTTCAAATATTAACGATATAGTGGCTACAGAACCAGCCTGGCGTGAAGAAGACTACTATCCATTCAAAAACACGGTGCTAGTGGTTGTTTTATAAATAACTTTTGATAGAGAAGAGATAGCGACCTGCGGTTTTCAGATTTAAAACTAGACATCGACCTCATATTTCGGTAAGTAAAAGCGAATTCTGGAAAACTTTTGAAGCGGGTTTTTCAGAGGATCTTTGAAAAACTAGCTTGGATTTCGCGGGTGAAACAGCCTGAAAACCCTAATTTTCGTAAAACTGACTTCTCGGTACCGTTTAAAGCTTCTTCTAAAACCAAATATTGCCACGAGACTGAGCATGGTCAATTATCTATAGTCTATCCGTCTTTAAGGCTACCAACAGTCACTGAGCGCCAGTCCTGGGACTCGTCGAAAATCCGATACAACGCCCGAACCGCAGAAAGTCAAGGTCTCACTTGACTCCGGTTTCGAAGAGAACACCTCAGACTACCAGCACCTGAGAAAAAATCAATATATTCCTATGTGAATTTCGAAAAATCCAAGCTGGTTTTCCAAAGATCCTCTGAAAAACCCACTTCAGAAGTTTTTCCAAAATTCGCTTTTGCTTACAGAAATATGTGCACCAACTTGAAACTGATTTGATTGATATTTCTTATTATAATACTTAGCCTGTTTAAGTAGAGCGTTTGATATTGAATTTCGAGCAGTTTCAAGATTTTGTTGATATCATTTAAAAAGTCCATTGCTGTTTGTGATGTATCTTGTTGTGGTGTTAAATGATATGTGAACTATTCAGTAATTCGCTGATGACAGCCTGTATCTAAAAAAAACGAACTAAAACGTGTTGATGTTTGTATCGCATTATAAACTTGTGCATTTAGGACCACGGTCACTTATAAGAATTCTGGTTAAATCATGATGACAAAATATTGTTTCAAAGAAAACTGTCGCTGTGTCAACTGCAGTTGCCTGAAATTTAACTGGTTTAAAATAAGCTCGTTTTGTAAGCCGATAAATAAAACAGTAATTGAATCATAACAAGCTACTGTCTTGGGTAAACCATCAATAAAGTCCATCGTTGCTTGTTCTCATCTCCCTTTTGGTACAGTTAACGATTGCAGTTGACCAAATGGTTGTTGATTCACTGGTAATGGGTTACGAGATAATGGATCAACATTATTATGTTTTTTGCCCGGTTTATGAACTATTTTCATTGTATCACGGTAGTTTTGTACACTTAGCGACCAGCTTAATGAACATTTATTATGCCCATTGAAGTCAAATAACCATTGTAATGCACTATGATCTGTAATACATTCAAATTTTGAACCATCTAAATATATATGTAATTTTTTCAATGACCAGACAATAACTAAACATTCTATTCAGTGGCGCTATAGACACCACCTGTGGGGGTAATAGAGCTACCCTTTTATTTTTTAGTCTAAACGTTGATCTACTCTTCTGCAGAAGAAAAATGGCGCTTATTTTGAGTTTAATGCAAAATCGCTCAACTTAACGAGTTAGGT